CTTTAAAATATGAGTTAAACAAATTCATTAAAATTATTTACATAACAATAATATTAAAATAAATGTTAATTTTTATATTTTTAAATAAATTAATTTTTTTGGTTTTAAAAAAACTATATTTTTTTATTTTTTCTTTAAATTGTGGTTATATGTATTTATTTATATTACAATTAAAAGAATAAAAATAAAGAGACACTTTTTGTGATATGATAAATAATTGGTTAAACCCCCTTTTTGGTCCCTCAACTATTGTACGGACCCCCGATTGAGTCCCTCAACTCAAAAAATCCCTGACTTGGTCCCTACTATTTACCATTTTAACCCCGATTTAGTCCCTCTGTTAAAAATCGCATGACGTGTCATATTAATTCACGGTAACACTATGACATGTCAAAACACGTGGAAGACACCATGGCAAACAATAGTGATATGGAAAAAAATAATAAAATGGTAAAAAATATTAATATGACAAAAAAAAAAACTTAAAAAACTCTTTTCTTTTTTTTTTTATCCCTTTCTCCTTCCCATTGTTTTTCCATTGGGGTCATGGGTTCCTGGGTTCCAAGGAACCCAGGCGTTGGGGTTCCTTTGAACCCGACGTTGGGTTCCTTGGAACCCAGGGGCAAAAACTAAAAAAATTTTTGTTTTTTGTTTTTTGGATTGGGTTTTGTGTTTGATGATGAGAAGAATTGATTGACGGAGAAGGTAAGGCAAGGAAGAAGAAGGAGAAAGGGTGCCTGTTGGGTTCGATTGAACCCAGCACCTGGGTTCCTTTGAAGAATTGATGTCTGATGAAGAATTGGTGTTGGATGAGGAAGGAGAAGGTGATGTTTGATGAAAAAAAGAAATATATATATGTGTGTTTTTGTGGATTTTGTTGTTTGATGAAGAATTGATCGATGAAGATGAAGATGAAGATAAAGATGAAGAATTGATCGACGAAGATGGCAAGGAAAAGAACAGGAAGGTGAAAGAGAAAGTGGAGGAAAAAAGAAAAATTTTTAAATTTTTATTGCCATGCTGGATTTCCACGTAGGTTTAATATTTTAACAGATTATTATACTTTCGTTAGTTAACAGTACACGTCATGCGATTTTTAACGGAGGGACCAAGTCGGGGTTAAAATGGTAAACAGTAGGGATCAAATCAGGGATTTTTTGAGTTGAGGGACTCAAGCGGGGGTCCGTACGATAGTTGAGGGACCAAAAAGGGGGTTTAACCTAAATAATTAAAGTAAGAGTTTTTCTAATATATATGTACTATTAGAGTAAAGTTAAAAGTATATTTATTATA